ATTCCTCTCTGTTAAACCCATCCACTTGTGGTATTTCTGTTATAGCAGCACTAGATGACTAAGACATTCACCAAAGGGTTACCTCAGCAGTGGAGGATTTTAACACTCAAGTGGATAGGATGACACATTCTGTAGAAACTAGTCATCCTCTTTCCCCATCCACTCCTGTCATTGCTCAATGGGCTCATGAACAAAGTGGCCATGGTGGCAGGGATGGAGGTTATTTATGGACCTAGCAACATGAACTTCCAGTCACCAAGTCCCGTTTGACTACAGCCACTTCTGAGTGCCCAATCTGCCAGCAGCAGAGATCAACACTGAGTCCCCAATATGGCATCATTTCTTGAGGGGATCAGCCAGCAATCTGGTGAGGGGTTGACTACATTGGACCTCTTCCATCATGGAAAGAGCAGCATTTTGTTCTTACTAGAGTAGACACTTACTCTGGGTACCGATTTGCCTTCCCTGCATGCAATGCTTCTGCCAAAACTACCATCTATGAACTTACAGAATGTCTTATCCACCATCATGGTATCCCACACTGCATAGCCTTGGATCAAGGAACTCATTTCACAGCAAATGAAGTGTGTCAATGGGCCCATGCTCATGGAATTCACTGGTCTTGCCATGTTCCCCATCATCCTGAAGCAGCTGGCTTGATAGAATGGTGGAATGGCCTTCTGAAGACACAATTACAGTGCCAGCTAGGTAGCAATACCTTGCGGGGTTGGGGCAATGTTCTCCAGGAGGCTGTATATGCTCTAAACCATTATCCAATATATGGTGCTGTTTCTCTCATAGCCAGGATTCATGGGTCCAGGAATCAAGGGGTGGAAATGGGAGTGGCATCACTCACTATTATCCCTAGTGATCCACTCGAAAAATTTTTGCTTCCTGTACCCGTGACCCTATGCTCTGCAGGTCTAGAGGTATTAGTTCCAAAGGGAGGAATGTTCCCACCTGGAGATGCATCACTGACTCCATTGAACTGGAAGTTAAGAATACCACCTGGCCACTTTGGGCTCCTTATGCCTCTGAATCAACAGGCAAAGAAGGGAGATACCATACTGGCTGGTGTAATTGATCTTGATTACCAAGAGGAAATGGGATTGATAGTACATAATGAAAGTAAAGAAGAGTACGTCTGGAATGCAGGAGATCCCTTAGGGCATCTCTTAGTACTTTTGTGCCCTGTAATTAAAGACATTGGAAAACTACAGCAGCCCAATTTCAACATGACTAATGGCCCGGACCCTTCAGGAATTAAGGTTTGGGTCATCCCACCAGCCAAAGAACTACAACCAGCTGAGGTGCTTGCTAAGGGTAAGGGAATATGGAATAGGTGGTGGAAGAAAGTAGTTCTAAATACCAGCTACGACCACATGACCAGTTACAGAAACAAGGATTATAATAATTGTTATGAGTATTTCTTCCTTGCATGTGTGCATCAAATATTTTTTGTTTGCTTCACTTATAAAATATAAGATGTAAACAGGGTTAGTGCATTTTCAGTTGTACGCTTGTTAGTTGTATCATGTTAGGGGCAAGTATGACTTTACAATTATCTTTATTTAGAGATTATATGGTTTAAGGAGATGTGTACAGGTGCAAAGCTGACAAGTGGTGGACTGTGGTGGTTAAGGTTGTGTGTCAATTTGGGCCGTGATTCTCAATGGTTTGGCAGTTCTGTAATGATGTAATCACTTCCATGATGAGATCTGATATAATGTAATCTCCATGACGAGATCTGCTATGAGCAGCCAATCAGTGGAAAGGGAGTTTCCTTGGGGGTGTGGCCTGCATCAAATATATATAGACTTTCTGGCAAAGCTCACCGGCTTTTGCTCTGTTCTGGATCCCGCATTCAGCTCATCATCATCTGAACTCCAGTTCTTGGAGCTTGAGCCAGCAGCCTGCCATCTTACCTGCTGATCTTAGACTGATCAGCCCCTGCAACTTTGTGAGTCAGGAGAAGCCTCTAGCCTGCTGCCTGACCCAAAAGCCTTGGGACTTTCCAGTCTCTACAACTGTGCGAGCCATTTCCTTGACATAAATCTTTTCTCTCTCTCTTTATATATATGCTTCACTGGTTTTGCAAACAACTTAATAGTCTATCAACAGATGAATGGATAAACAAAATGTGGTATACCCATAACCAAACCAAACCCATTGCCGTCTAGTTGATTCTAACTCATGGCAACCCCATGTGTTAATAGAGTAAAACTACTCCACAGGATTTTCTTGGCTATAATCTTTACAGAAGCAGATCATCAGGCCTCTCTTTGGCTGCCCCACTGGGTGAGTTCAAACTGTCAATCTTTAGGTTAGGAGTCAAGCCCAAACCGTTTGTGCTACCCAGGGGTATATTATAGCCATACAGTGGAATATTCTTTAGATGTTAAGAGAAATGAAATTCTGGCACCTGCTACAACATGGCTGAACCTTCAAACCACTATGCTGAGTAAAATAAGTCAGATACGAAAGGACAAATATTATACGGTCCCACTTACAGAAAATGTCTAGAACAGGCAAATGCATAGAGACTGAAATTTATTAGTGGTTACTGGGTATATGAGGGGGAAATGGGAAGATTGTGCTTAAGGGGTGATTAAAAAATTGGGAAATTGATAGTGGTGATAGTTACACAACATGGTGAACATAATTAATGTCACTGAATTATACACATAAAAAGGGTTGAAAAGGCAAATGTTTTGTTATATATGTTTTACCACAATAATTTTTTTTTTAATTTTGAAAAAAATTTTGCTAAGAAACCTCCATTCAGAATTTTTAAAACATTAACCTAGCAAAAGAAACTGGACTCTAAAGAGGGCACACTGCGTGACTCCATGTAGAAAGGACAGCTCTCATCAATGGGGACAGAGCACTGGTTCCCCCAGCTTGGGGGTAACTGAGTGACTGGGAATGTTGTGGCTAATGGAAATGTTCTATATTTTAAGTGTGATGGTGGTCACACAGATGCATAAACTTGTCCAAAAAAAAAAATCAATTAAAATGTACACCTAAAATGAATACACATTATCATATTTATTTAAATTATACTTCATTAAAGTTGATTGAAAATGTCTCCATTTATCTTGGCTATAAATGGATCCTTGTTCTAAGAGCCAAGTGTGTTTGAGATGCTAGGTGAAGGATGAAACTCCCTGTGCTCCAAAGGCTTGGGGAAGATTCCTCATCTGGAGCCCAGGGGAACTAGGGGGCTAGGGCCCAGGAAGGAGGGAGACTCCGCCAGGGAAGAGGGCAGGGGCTGGAGTGTTGGCAGATATGGTGACCCCAGGAACAAGGAGAGCTCTGGGACATTGAGTGCACCTAGACCAGCGAGGACTCGAGCCAGTCAGCAGAAAGGAGTCACTGCAGGGCCTAAGGATCAGAGGCGTGACACCATGCAAGCGGAGGTTTTAAGGGTGGGCTCGGTGAGGGGCCTAGGTTGAGCACGGTGAGGGTGAGCCTCCTGGAGCCAAGAAAAGACACGTAGCACAGGGAATGAGATACAAGGGCCTCTCAGGACCACTGTATGTGACATCCCAGGTACAGAGATGCCAGCATTCCAGGGTCTCCCCCATCTGCCACCCCACCCCCACCCTTCTCTACCACCTCTCCTAGAGTTTCCCCTAGTGGTTCTCAGCAGACCCCTTCAGGGAGGGATAGAAAGGAGAATAGGAAGAAGGGGTCAGTGAGAGTCTCAATGGGATCAGCCCTCTCAATATTCCCCCATCACCCCAGCCAGCAGAGAAATGTGTCCTGGGAGTGGGTGGTGCTAAGACAGACATTCCCCAACAGCCCCTGCCTCCTTCATTTTTTCTGCCCCTGCCCCTATATCCCAGCGAAGTGACCCTCAAATGCTGCTTCGGCACAGCTGTGCTCCTGGCATCTCCCCTATGGGTGACTTGGTGGATCTCCACCCTCGGAAATCCCAAACCCCCTATTACAGATCTCCACTGTGGGATCATCAGATCCTATTGTAGTCACCTGTTTGCTGACTGGCTGTTCCCTCACTGGCTCCTGAGGGCAGGGCCTGGGCATTTTTCTTGTTTGTGACCCCAGAAGATGCACAGTGCTGGGACGTAATAGATGCTAAATAATTGATTGTTGCATGAATGAATGGAATATCCACCCCTAGCCCACTTCTCTGGGGACACCCAAAGTCCTCAGGGCCTGAGACCCTTCTCTCTATTCCTAGGGACAGATCCTGTACCCTCTGCCCCATAGGGTTTGGGGTGGGTGTGGGCTGGAGCTGAAAGTCCCCAGGTCTGAGGTGAGGAGGCTGGGACAGTTTGGGGCTGGGGGAGAGGTGTGACACTGGGAAAGCAGAGGAAGAAAGGAAGAAATCTGGGGAGGAGAGGAGAGAGGGGAAATGTGCGGACTCTGGTTAGGTCTGAGCAAGGATGAGTCCCAGTCCCCACTCAGGAGAGCAAGAGACAGATGGGGTTTGAGTGGGAACAAAACACCGGGCTGATTCTCTACTGGCTCCCATCTTGAGGTTCATATTCCAATTTGTAGGGCAAAAGTGAGGGATAAGAAGGAAGCCGGGGTCTCTGGGCCTGAGGTAGGTGGGCTTCTCTTAAACTTGTTCCCCATGAAGGAGACAGCAGGGGGCAGAAGCAAGGTTCAAATCACTAGGCCAAGGATCCCAAACTCCTGGCAGGGTGCCTCCTCCTCCCACAGGCCTCCAAACTGCACAACTCCAGGGGCCCCATTTACATAGACAACATGTGAATGAGGATCCCTGGAGTTGGCCAACAAGATGGCCCTGCACCCCCAACACTCCTGCCTATGACAGACATCGCTAAACAATCACAGTTCCTGCTCATCCTGCACTCGATCTCAGAGTCCTTCTCCACACAGGACCCCAGTCTGCCCCTTCTCAGAGCTGGCATATGAGATGCCAGATAACTGCCATCATTTTCCCTCACCCTCCACAGAGACAAGGACTTCCTGGAGCTTGTCAGACAGAAAGAGGCTGAGGAAAGACCACTTCACTCCTTTATTGAGAGGGGAATACACTCCCTCACTTTGCAAGCCTCTGGGCCATACACAATTTCAAGCTCGGTCTGCAGCATGTTTGATGTGACTCTGAAGAAGCCCCTGACAAAGCCCCGGGTGTGGTAGATGTACCACCGCCAGCAGGTCTGGATCATGCGGGCAGCGTTGAGCACACGCCAGTAGCGCTGGTGGATGCGCCACATGCGGACCCAGGACGGCAGCCTTACTGCCGCCCACTCCTGCTCCCTATAGGCCTCCAGAGCATATTGTCGCCTCTTCTCCAGCTGCCTCGCCAGCATCCGCCACCACCAGTTCTGAATGATCCAGACCTTGAGCACCATCTGCAGCAGCTTCTGGCGCACCTGGGTGCCCCGCCACCAGGCCTGGATCTTCTTGGCTGCCTCTGCTCTTTCCTCATCTGTCGCCTTCATAGCTCTGTTCTAAGCATGGAGACAGGGGACACTCAGGGTCCTTTCCACCACCCACCACAGTGCAGGGTCTGCCAGGAAGCAGCCCTGATCCTCTCTATTTTTACAATCAGCCCTTCCTCAGATGGCTCTGGAACAGTAAGTCTCCAACCATCCAACTAAGGTTAGGTTCTTCCTCACCTCTTCCCACCACCACATCTCTAGACACCTTAAACTTCAGTTAACACACATATATGTGTGTATGTGTGTGCACACGTGCATGCGCGCGCACACACACACACACACACACACACACACACCTCTTGATCCAGGTTTCCCATACTTTAGCTGTTCCATTCTCCAAACACAACCCCCACCTCTCTGCACCTCCAAACCCTGAGTATTCTGGGTTTACATTTTCCTGGCTCTCTCCCCCTCACCTTGATCTCTCCGTGACTCAGCCAGACCCACAATCTCAGACTGGGTGGTAGATGGAGAAATAAAGACCAATAGTGCATTTTTCCCTGTCCTTAAGCTCTTGATCATAACAAAGACACCAACGATCCCCACTAAGACACCAGGGGTCAAAGACAAATAAGGACCTGGCTTCTTCCCAATTTTGTATAGTTTCCACCCACCTCCTCCTCCTTTGAAAATGGTGCCTCTGCTTTATAAATTTCTTTACGTTTTTTCTTCACTTTTTCCTGTTTCTGTAATCAAAATTTAGGGGAAAAGACATAGACGAGAGTAAGGCATTGCTCATTCTCCTGATGATTCATGAACAGCCCCCAGGTTCCCAACCTTTCTGGGACCTCAACAGACAGGAGCCCCCGTCCTGAAGTTTTCAGCAAACTTGGGTAGATCTGGCTGTCTCTTACACAACATTGAGTACCCATGGCTTGGGGAAAGACCGTTCCAATCCCTTCTGGTCTCTGTTTCCCAGTCATGGCACAGGTGCAAAGGGCAGAGAGGAGAGCTATGATGTCATAAGGGCAGGTATGACTCAGGGACTGGGAGGACTCCCATCCCAACAGTTGAGCCCCGCCTGGAAAGTCCTGTTCATTCTCATACTGACAGAGATGGCCAAAGCCCACAAGAGATAGATAGGACCTCAATGGGACTAGACTTTGGGCACAAATATGTATAAAGCTAACTATTATAGTCTAATTGGAAATACTAAAATATAGAAACAATTTGAATATCCCTCAAGACGGGGTTTTAAATGAACTATAATCCACCTGTACCAAGGAATACTATTGAATCAGTTAGCCTTCACTTGGCTACTAACCAAAAGGTTGGAGGTTCAAGTTCACCAGGAGGCACTTAGGAAGAAAGGCCTGGTGATCTGCTTCTGAAAAATCAGACACTGAAAAGCCTATGGAGCACAGTTCTTCTCTGACACACATGGGATCATCATGAGTCAGGGTCAAGTCGATGGCCCTGGTTTATGTAACTCCAAACTCTCAATGACTTGCAAAAGCAAAGGTCTATTTTTGTTCAGGTTACATATCCACTGTGGGTCGGAGCAGCTGTGGCTATGTTCCAGGCTGTAAGAAGGCTTTGGCACTGCTCCACATATCTTCTACATTCTGTGAGCTGGGCTGAAGGATAGTCCCAATTTGGAACATGCCATTCTCTTGGAAGATAGACAAAGGACATGGCTGAATCACTCAATGACTCTTAAAGCTTCTGCTCAGATGTAGCAGATGTCACTTCCACTCACATTCCATTGGCTACAGCAAATCACATGTCTAAGCCTTGCATACATGGGGCAGGGTATCCTGCTTTGACAGGGCTGCACTGAAAATCACATGGCAATGGATAAGGAAGTATAATCCTCTGACAGGGAAGGGGACTGAAAAATAAGGAATAATAATACAATCTATCATAGTCTGGAAACTCTGGTGGCATAGTGGTTAAGAGCTACCGCTGCTGACTAAAAGGTCGGCAGTTCAAAGCCAGCAGGCGCTCCTTGGGAATCCTATGGGGCAGTTCTACTCTGTCCTATAGGTTTGCTATGAGTTGGAATCAACGCAATGGCAACGGGTTTGGTTTTATTTTGTTTTTTTTTAATCATAGTCCACAAATTTTTACTTCCTTCCTTTCCTTGAGGAAAACACCCCAAAGTCCTTTCTAATCACAGCATCAAGCTCAAAATCCGGGATCTCATGACAGATCTTTGCTTCAGATCTGAGTGTGGATCTTATTCTCCTGGAGAGCTATGAACTAAAAATTCAAGTTATATGCCCTCTGCACAGCCAACATGCAATGCTGGAACATGCTCAAAATAACACTCTCATTTGGAAAGAGAACGAACAGGAACCACAAGCAGTTACTGTTCCACAGCAAGTCCGAAATCCCACTGGGCAAACATTGGTGGGGGCGGAGTCTATCCTGGGCAAACACTGGCGGGGGTGGAGTCTATCGTGGGGAAGAAAATGTACTTTGCTTAGGCCCTGCAGCTGTTCCCTGGACACTGCTCTCCATGGCTCTTGAATCAGTCCTCTAGGAGTTCCTTTTCCACTCTGCTCCTTGGCCACATCTGAAAAGGTGATTAGAGAATTTGCCCTTCTGGATGGATGAACTGCTTTCCCAGCCTGTTTCCTACCTGTAGAAAGTTTCCTACCAGAGATTATTTTACATCCCGGGCGTCATAGTCTTTTTTTTTTTTTACTTTCAGAATTATTTTAAATCCCGTAAGTTCATACTTAAATGATATATATATGTGAACACAAGCGTTCATAAAGCTGGGAAAGTCACTGTAATTTTATTCATTGCCTATCTGGTCTATTCTTGTTGCTGTTAGTTGCCACCGAGTTGATTCCAATTCGTGGTGACCCCATGTGTGCAGAGCAGAACTGCTCCGTAGGTTTTTCAAGGCTGTGACCTTTCAGAAGAGGATGGCCAGACCTGTCTTCCAAGTTACCTCTAGGTTGGTTTGAGTCGCCAACTTTTCAGCTCGTAGTCGAGCACTTAACCGTCTGCGCCACCCAGGGAGTCCCAGTCACTCTCTCTTAATCTAAGCTATTGAAGCTGGTAGTAGTCTCACTAAAGTTTCTGAAAAACTTTTCTGGATATTCAGCTATTTGATTTCAGTTAGCTCCATATACTAATAACATTACCCACAATTCTTTTCAAGACATGCCTCTCTGTCTCTCTCTAGACAATAACGGGCATTTGGGGCTTATCCAACTTCTGCGGGGAAACTGTGCCCTTAGCCTGTTTACTCTGAGCTGTTTTTGCCTATTAAAATCCATTCAGAGGTTTAAACAGAGGGTGTGATGGTTTGTTCTTGATTTGCTCTTTGCCCTGAAGCTGCATCTTAATCAGGCTTTCTTGCTAAAAAATTTTCTCAATTTTTACTTCTACTAGTTGAATATGAGCAGCAGTTTCATCTTTTATTCTTGCAAATCTGCAAATTTTAGATTCTTTCCTTTCCCTTTCATACCTGCTTGTAAAATGGGCAGTTCTTTTCAGAGTTCATCTCTTTCTTATAATGCGTTGCTGATTGGAGCTAACAACAACAAAAAGCACACTAGTGACATTGTGTTTCTCAACTCCTTCACCTTCATTAGATACATTACAAAGTTTCCAAATATTGCAGGGAGTGGTATTGCAGTAATTAGCCACTGCATAAGAAGGCTGCCATTTTTCCAGTCTCCAATCACAGTTTCCTTGCCACCCACTGCCTGGCATTGAAGACAAAGACATATATGCTAGGCGGTTTTTTTTTTTTTTTTTAACCTTCACCCCACTTTTAAAAATAATTTATTTTGTTGTTTTTGTTGTTGACAATAAACACAGTAGAACATATGCCAATTCAATGATTTCTATATGCAAAATTCAGTGATATTGATTACATCCTTCATGTTGTACAACCATTCTCACCCACCTTTTCCGAATTGTTCCTCCTCCATTAACATAAACCCACTGCCCCCTATGGTTCCTATCTAATCTTTCGAGTTGCTACTGTCAACTTAATCTCATATAGATAGTTCTTAAAAGAGCACAATGCTCAAGGCAGATATTCTTTACTAGTTAGGCTAAACTATTATTTGGTTTTAAGATTATTCCAGGGGATATTTTTGGTTTAAGTTTTAAAAATTAACCTATTGCCATAGAGTTGATTCCAACTCATAGTGACCCTAGGCAATAGTTTCAGGGGTTCATCTGCCCTCCACTGCTCCAGAAAGTCTAGAATTCATGAGAATTTTAAATTCTGTTCTGCATGTTCCCCGTTTTGATCAGGATTCTTTGATGAAATCTTCGATCCAAATGTTCAGTAATGGTAGCCGGGCACCATCCAGTTCTGGTCTCATGGCAAAGGAGGCAGTTGTTCATAGAGGCAATTAGCCACATGTTCCGTATCCTTCTCCTTCTTCTTCTGTTGCTCCAGGTGAATAGACACCAGTTGTGTCTTGGATGGCTGCTTGCAAGCTCTTAAGACCCCAGACACTATGCAACAAACTAGGAGGTAGAACAGGAGCACTAAACACTTTATTAGGCCAATTAACTGGGATGTCCAATGAAACCATGACCCTAAACCTCCAAACCAAAGAACCAAATCCATGAGGACTGGTTGTACATAAGCAGCCTCAGCAGATACTCTTTAGTTTCATCATTATTATAAATATATCTATCAAATAACTTTGGACAATTCAACTTTGTATAGGTTTACAACTTATTGACAGCAAGTACAATAATCGGCTGTGCAACCCTACGTTTGATCAATACAATTTCTCCATCACCATTAACCCCCTTTTCCCAGTCCCTCCAGCCCCTGGTAACCACTAATAAACTTTGGTCTCTATACATTTGCCTGTTCTTATCTTTTTATATAAATGAGGTCATACAATATTTGTCCTTTTTGTGATAGACTTATTTCACTCAGGATAATGTCTTCCAGCTCCATTCAAACTGTAGCATGTATCAAGACTTCATTTCCCCTACTGGTTGAGTAGTATTCCATTTTAAGTATGTACCACATTTTGTTTATTCATTCATCTGTTGTTGGACATTTAGGT